TCTCTCCTCCTCTCTACATCCCTCCATACACCCACAAAATTTGCTCCAGAGGGCCCACAACTCTTGAGCAGATTTTGTGGACATGGGGGGTGTTAAGTTGTGGGTGAACATATCAGACAACACAGCAATTCTTCAGACAGCTCTTGTTTATTCACAGGCCAGAACAGAACTGAACTGAAGGGTTCAGTCAACCTGCTTATATAGAGCTCAGCTACAAAGCAACAGTAACAACTTTCTGTAACTATCCAATCACTGAATGTCACTTTCAATTCCTTATTTGCATATGCGGACCTGAGTGAAAACTATCTACAGTATCCCTCTGCCGGCCCAGGGTGAGAACTTCAGTACATAACAGGGGGACTCTGCATGGGGCAGGAGAGGAAAGCAAAGTCACACGTGTGACCGGAAGCTGGTTCTGCTCTCACATGGACAACTTTGGGTACAACCCAATAACCATTAAATAAATAACAAAAAAACTTGCTGCCCTTTCATGATGCACCCCAAATCAGCTACCTGAGAGATCCTTCCCACTCTGCCCAATAGTAGAGCCGGCCCTGCATGCATATTTTTCACCTTTGCCATCATTAAGTAACACAACTGATTCCAGCCCTCACTCAGCAACTGTTCTGTATTTATTTTACTGGAGGGTTTATTATTATTATTATTATTGCATGCAAATAACTAGGTGCAAAAAACTTCATGGATGATTATTTTCATGCAGAAGTCTGGGAAAACAGGACATTCTGCAGCATCAGCTGCACACCCGACTCCTTTCTGCATATGTAGCAGCTTGCGTTGCCACTGAGTGCAGCAATGACCTACTGTATTTTTCGCACCATAGGACGCACTTTTTCCCTCCTAAAAAGCAAGGGAAAATGTGTGTGCGTCCTATGGAGCGAATGCAGGGGGGAGGCAGGCGGGAAAAGCCCCCAAGAGCCGCACACAAGCTCCGTGCGCTCTGGCGGGCTTTTCCACAGGAGGGAGAAGGGACTGACTGGCCGCATCAGTCCCTTCTCCCACCTCCCAGAAAAGCCAGGAGAAGCCGCGATCTCTTTAAAGGGGTTGCGCGGCTTCTGCGGGCTTTTGCGAGAGGTGAGGGAATCCCCCCACCTCCCAGTAAAGCCAGGAAAGCCCTGCGCAGCGTCTCCCAGCAAGGAGAGGCTGCACGGGGCTAAAGGGGAAGCCAAAACAATCAATCAATCCTGCTCGCTGCCTTGGCTTCCTCCACAGCTGCGAGCAACCCCTCCGGCAAGGAGAGGTTGCGCTGGGCTATAGAGGAAGCCAAAACAGCGAGCGGGATCCATCCTGCTTGCTGCCTTGGCTTGTGCCATAGCCCCGCTCAACCCCTCCGGCAGGGAGAGGTTGTGCGCAGCCTGTACGCTGCTCTTTGGGGCTGGGGGGGGACATATTTTTTTTCTTGATTTCCCCCCCTAAAAACTGGGTGCGCCCTATGGTCCGGTGCGCCCTATGGTGCGTAAAATACGGTAAATGATTGTAATGATAGCAGGTTAGACAAGGATGCCACGTAAACTGCAAGTTCCCCGATGGTCTGGGTTAATCAGTCTTAGAGAACTACTTGTTTCATTTATGGGTGATGAAATCTGCATGAGTTTGAAAAGTGCAATCAAATCTTTGATGCATGGCAGACTTGCGGAAGAGTCCATTCAAAAGGAGAGCTGTTAACCATCATAAATCTGCATTCAGTTTGGGGTTTTGTTTAGTTTTTTCCAAAAGTCTGTACCAGTTTGCCATTCTTAACCCCCAATCTGCCTCCTGAGAAAGAATACAGAGGCTTAATCAATACTGACAACATTAAACAATCCGTTTCCTGGGATACAAAATGGAAGAAGTTGCAATTATAACAAAACAAAAGCATGCAGAGGTTAAAGAGCGAGATCAAAACAGTAGCAAAGTTCCAAAGTACTGTTAGAGATGGGGGGGGGGCATAAACCCTAGAAATTCATAAATGGTTGGATTTTGATTAACTGGGATATGGATGAAAGTATAAACTGCAGAGCTGTGCAAGATAGGGAATCCCTGGGCTGGCTCATGCAAACCAGCCTGGCTGGCCTAGTGAAGAGCAAATCTGTTAAAATGACAAAAGGTGTTGATGGGCCATCTGCAGGAATCCTTTGGCCTTGGGAGACAGATGTTGCCAAAGTGATAGGGTGTGTCTTTGAAGTGACAGGAAAAGGGAATTTTTGAGCAAGATGAAGAAGAAGGGAGAGACAAGACTGGGATCCATCTTGGGCAGGCTGGCTGGGAAAGATACCTTGGACTCAATGGCTGGATTACTTGAGGTGCGGTAACAAGCCCCTCTTGAAATAATGTAAGATCTGGACTCCCTCCGTGGAGACTGAAGGTATCAATGGGCGAATGAACCATGTTTCTTAAAGCTATGACGGTCTCCGACATCTCAATTCTCCAAAGGGACACAGAACCCAGGTGAGTGCCTGGAACCACCTGAGATCTTGCTATCACTTGGCTGAGAATGGAAGTGGCATCCAACTTTTGTAACAATACTTTAATATGGCTGCTTCTGACATTCTTCAGCTCATGATTCTGAATAGTGTTTGCATTATTGTAAAGAAGCAATGAAGAAATTCACACACACCCCACACTGAGAATTTAATTAATCTGGAGCACTTTGATTTAACATTATTCTATTGCACTCAGGTAATCTACTCTTCCCTCCTATTTGGTGAATCTAAACCCTTGCCTTCTGCCCCAAACTCCTCCCCTGATGACTCTACTGCTATTCCCATGAGACGAGTTCCCTGCAGGATTTAACTTCCTTCCGCAGGGCCTGTAAGACAGAGCTATTCTGCCTGGCTTTCAACTTGAACTTAGCTTGATCTTTTATTGCCCTTCCTTCCCTCCCCCTCCCCTTTTTATGAAGATTACCTGCTCTGGGATCCCACAGCTAATTCTCCCCTGGCCTCCTTGCTGGCCCAAATAGGACTAATTTAGCCAGCTAGCCCTGGTGATCATCTAATACAGTGGTACCCCGCAAGACGAACGCCTCGCAAGACAGAAAACCCGCTAGACGAAAGGGTTTTCCGTTTTGGAGGCGCTTATAAGCAGACTTCCTATGGGCTTGCTCGCAAGACGACAGCCCATAGGAAATCTCAGGGACAGCGGGGAAGCGCAGCGCGTCTTCCCCACTGTCCTCGGACCTCCTCCGAAGCCTGGCGGCGGGGCGGGGACACCTCCTCCCGCCGCCGCCGGGCCGGAGGCTCCTCCCGAGCCGGGCGGGGGAGGGAACACCTGCCGCCGCCGCCCGGCTCGGAACGGTGCTCCGAGCCGGGCGGGGGGAGGAAGACCTCCCGCCTCTGCCCGGCCGGAACGGTGCTCCGAGCCGGGCGGTGGGGAGGGAAGACCTCCCCCGCCGCCCGGCCGGGACAGTGCTCCGGGCCGGGCGGGGGAGGGAACACCTCCCGCCGCCGCCCGGCTCGGAACGGTGCTCCGAGGCCGGGCGGGGGAGGGAAGACCTCCCGCCGCCGCCCGGCCGGGACGGTGCTCCGAGCCGGGCGGGGGAGGGAAGACCTTCTGAAGGCGGGCGGGGGCGAAGTCTTTGCTCCCCTGCCTGCCTGTCCCGGAGGGCTTTTGAAGGCGGGGAGCAAAGACTTCCGCCCCGCCCGCCTTCAGAAGAGGTCCAGGACCTCTTCTGAAGGCTGGCGGGGGCAAAGTCTTTGTCCCCCTGCCTGCCTTCCCAGGGGCTTTAGATTGCCCCGGACAGCGGAGAAGTCCTCCGCTGTCCCGGGGTGATTTTAAAATGCCGCCCGCCAGCATTTTAAGATCGCCCGGACAGCGGAGAAGTCCTCCGCTGTCCCGGGGTTTTAAAATGCTGGGGGTGGAAGAAAGCCCTTGCCCCCCCAGCCTTCAGAAGAGGTCCGGGGACAGACTGTCCCCGGACCTGGTCTGAAGCGGTTTCCCTAGGAACGCATTAATTGATTTTCAATGCATTCCTATGGGAAACCGTGCATCGCAAGACGAAAAACTCGCAAGACGAAGAGACTTGCGGAACGAATTAATTTCGTCTTGCGAGGCACCACTGTATTAATTGGATGGATTTCCCCCCTAAATTGATTTTTGAATTCTGAATTTATTGTTATTCATGTTTTATACTGTATTTTATGCTGTTTTCTGTTGCATCAATTAAGTGTTTTAAATTGGTTGTTAGCCGCCCTGAGCCCAGTTTTTGAACGGGGAAGGGCGGGGTATAAAGAAAAAATTATTATAATGTTGGGAAAAGGTACTAGCTGCAGTATGTCGCTGTTCTTTTTGTATTGCCTTCCTTATATACTTTAATTCTAGCTCTCTAATTCCGAACTGAAGGGGGTGGGCACTAGAAACCCCCAGCCAGAGGATCCTTAGATGATTACTTTTTTAAAAAAAAGAAAGAAAGGTGGTGTTAAATTTGCATACACTTGGTGCGTCTATTGGAAACCAAAGGAGGCGTGCTCCATTTTAATTTGTTGATGCATGATGGTAAATCAAAGTAGTGTCACAACCAGCAGAGAAATTCCTTAATGAATTGGCAGTGTTTGAAGATGTGAGAAGAGCACATAGAAAAAACATCAAAGCAGTCAGAATAAAAATAGCTGGGCAAGGAGGGAAAGCAGCCTTTTAAGAAAAGACTTGCCATCTTGCCAAATGATCCATGAGTTTGCAAAGAATAAGTGATAATGAAGCAAAATAGATATGCCAACCATGAGAGCACATTAATACTAGCCACAAATATGGTTATATAATAATAGATGCTCAGGAAATGACTGGAAGTTGGGTACTGTGAGGCTTATCTGCAGCTATATTTACATGTCAGGGCAAATGGTTTGGGACGTGGTTATTTAAAGCAACACTTCTGTCATGTGAACTTGCCAGGTCTTTAAGATCAACTTCAGAAGACATCCTCCGGACAATCTAGTCTTTTCAGTGGTGGCACCCCACCCAGATTCATAAAGCACCCACAATATTGTCATTTAGGTGCCTGGTTAAGGTTTTGAAGAATAGCTCAGTTGGTTAGAGCGTGGTGCTGATAAGCCCAAGGTTGCAGGTTTGACCCCCGGTACAGAAGAGGTGGACCAGTTGATCCTCAGGGTCCCTTCCAATTCTATTGTTCTATGATATTTATTGTTTATTGAAAAGTTTTCAAGAATTTTACAGTAGAAGAATTTACTCCTACTTTATCCAGTTACATAACTGGAGATACAGGAAATGTAAAATTGAGCTTCCATCTCCTATGCTGTCATTCTCCTGCTTCTAATTCCTCTGCCTTGGTCACTGTTAGGCATTAAAATGTCTCTTTAACATTTCATACTAAAATAATTCATTTCTGTCTATAGCTATACCAGGTTGCCTTGATTTATATTCTTACTGCTCAGTTGGTTTTATTGACTGCTGCTCTGTTTTCTTTTCTTATCCATTTTAAATGGATAAACTACCTTTACATTTGGTGTTTTCATATTTTAATATTACAGTTCTATTTTGGTTATTTTTTTATTGTTGGTTGCTTTGAAGACTTAGTGAAAAAGCAACAGATAAATATTTGAAACCCATAAGTACCCATAGAGAGGCTTGCCTGGGCTGCAGGAAATTATGATTCAAAGCTAGAACTCCTGCTGTGCTCTTAAAATATTTGCTTTGCTTTATTTTTAATGTTAGTAGCCAGTCATAAAGTATTGACTGTGAATTGAGCTAAGCAGTAAACTAGAATGAAGGCATGGGCAAGGGTCTTTGTTTTCTGAGAAATCTCCAAGGCTGAAATCCTATACACAGGTACCTGGGAATATGGATAGGCCCATCTGTCAATTTCAGTTTCTCTCGATTTCCCAAGCTTAAGTTTGATTCCCCCCAAAAGTGAAAATTCATTAGCATTTACTGCAAATTTCTCCTAATATACACATTTCTTGCAAAGCAATTTCCTTTAATATACTGCATTTTAAAATGTTGTTTTCACTAATACAGTGGTACCTCGGGTTAAGAACTTAATTCGTTCTGGAGGTCCGTTCTTAACCTGAAACTGTTCTTAAGCTGAGGTACCACTTTAGCTAATGGGGCCTCCCGCTGCCGCTGCGCTTCATCCTGAAGCAAAGTTCTTAACCCGAGGTACTATTTCTGCGTTAGAAGAGTCTGTAACCTGAAGCGTCTGTAACCTGAAGTGTCTGTAACCTGAGGTATCACTGTACATGCAGTTATAGGCATACTTTACCCTAGCATATGCATTTTTGTACACATTAGATGTCTGGAGAGCCAAACATCAACATTTGGAGAAGTATGAATTTTGAAAGATGGCTGTGTTTCGGGTTCACATAGTTTTTCAAAAGTGCAAATTCAGTAAGTTCACCTTGAATTAAATTTCTCCCACATTCCTACCTGGGGGTATGTGTGATTGAACTTGGTGGGCTTACTTCTGAGTAGCTGTGTACTGTAAACTTGCCATTTAGAACTGGTGGCAGCTCTTATGAGCTAAGGACAAAAGGATTTTAGGTAAGCTTAGAATGATAAACAGAACTGCACATTCATTTGTAGATGTACTCCATGGGCCTGGCAAGGCAATCCTATACAGTGGTACCTCAGGTTACATACACTTCAGGTTACATACGCTTCAGGTTACAGACTCCACTAACTCAGAAATAGTGCTTCAGGTTAAGAACTTTGCTTCAGGATGAGAACAGAAATCATGCTCTGGTGGCGCGGTAGCAGCGGGAGGCCCCATTAGCTAAAGTTGTGCTTCAGGTTAAGAACAGTTTCAGGTTAAGGACAGACCTCCGGAACGAATTAAGTACTTAACCTGAGGTACTACTGTACAAGCCTATCCAGAAGTACCCAATTTGGCTTACTCCCAGATAATGGGGCTTATTCCCAGGTAAGAGAATGTAGGATTACAGCATTACTCCTCAGTAGGTAAGTTTAGTATTTGCAGACTAAACTATATTATCAGCATCCTGGCATAAATTTGGAGAGAGAAAAAAGTATGCATGTTTACGTCTTGCCCTCATGCTTTGTAAAGCTTTAGGGATTCATCAATAAAAGTTGTATCCAATTCTACAACAAACTGTATTGTCATTTACATGGCTTGTAGGATCAGGACTTTAAAGTCACTGTGTCACATGAAATGCAATTCTACCCCCACCTGCTAAAAAACCATTTTCTCTGAAATATAGCACAGAGCTTATTTTCTATGCTATATGATTACACCATGAATTTTAAGAGTAGATTCCTATTTTAATAGCAATAGCAGGTCTTTGCCTTATGTTTGGCAAATGTTTGTGGTAGAAGTCATACACAGAGCCCAACAATGATTCACTATCAGTAATTTTCCTGCCCTTGCAAGTCATTTCACCCACGTCCTTTGCAATTCTAAGGGAAGTGTCAAGTGAGGGACTCAGCCATAATCTCTAGCCACATGCGGAATATAATGACATGCAGCCTAAGCAACTTGTGAGGAAATGACAAGGCACATCTCCTCTGCCATATGGACTGCACAATTATCTTGAGTTGTCTATTTCAAAACCAGACTTATCTTTCAGCGAAAAGTTCCTTCTTTTTTAGGACAATTCAGGCTCTTGATCAACTTGATGGTCCAAGCAAATGGACAGGACAGAATTTTAGTGACATTCAGAAACGCAGATTCATGGCTAATTAACTTACCTTGCTTAAATGATGGCAATAAATAATCTTTCTGACACAGTAAACATAGCTGGGGCAAAGTGACTAAAGATGCCGCTATTCACTTGGAATATCTGTACCACTTATTTTACAAAACAATATTTGCTAGAATGTCAACTATCATAAGATAGGCGTGAGTTATAAATAATGTAGGGTTGCCATACACCCGGAATTTCCCGGACATAGCCGGAATACTGCAGTACCCATGTCAGCAATGTCATTTTGGGCAATTTTCCTTAAAGTAACTAAAAAACCCACAAAAAAACTCAAGAACTTTTGTGTCCGGATTTTCACTTTTTGAAAGATGGCAACCCTAAATAATGAAATGTTCTTAGTCAGCCCAAATGACATATCTCTGTCATTAGAAAGGCTGCCCAATGCAGAGAAATCTCCAAATAAAAGCAGATGCCATTGAGGTCAATAGGGCTCTGCATCTGAATTTTCTCTGTTTATGTTTCCATTTGGATTGGTTTCTTTTAAATAATAATAATAATAATTTATTTATACCCTGCTCATCTGGCTGGGTTTCCCCAGCCACTCTGGGCGGCTTCCAACAGAATATTAAAATACAATAACCTATTAAACATTAAAAGCTTCCCTAAACAGGACTGCCTTCAGATGTCTTCTAAAAATCTGGTAGTTGTTTTTCTCTTTGACATATGGTGGGAGGGCGTTCCACAGGGCAGGTGCCACTACTGAGAAGGCCCTCTGATTGGTTCCCTATAACTTGGCTTCTCACAGCGAGGGAACCGCCAGAAGGCCCTCAGGACTGGACCTCAGTGTCCGGGCAGATTGTTTTATTGTTTTATGAAAAAGCTTTAACAAAATCTTACGAAAAAAATAAAAAGTAAAAAGTCCTCCCGGGTCAGGGGCCATGAAACCAGCTTTGTACAAAAGACTTCTCTTCTAGAAATGAACTGCTGAGGGGAGGTCCATGCAGAGGGGTTTGTTTGTGAGAGAGGCATATGACAGTCTTGCGCATCTGACACCTGCAAGTTACATTGCTAATCCAAGCAGCACATTGCAAATTGTTAGCCGCAGTGTCAAACTGAGGGCACATGCGGTGTGCAAATATCTTCAAGTGTACGGCTTGCTGGATCCAAACTTTACCTTCCTCTGACAGATGGAGTCTTCTGATGGAAAGATCCCTTTCATCCGAAGAAGCGAACGTGCATCAAATCCAGTCCAGTGCACTTATTTACTCTGCTTACTTTGTAAAAGAGGGAGGGATACTCATGAATGTGGTGATCTCCAAGAATCATGCTTTGTCAAGTCCAAAACTCTGGTCAGGAAGGCTGAAAGCAGCTCACAGTGACAGCCCTGTTCACAGAAATCTGATAAGAAAGCCATAACAAGCATCTATGATACAGTATTGCTGTCATGTCACCAGAGTGCAGGAAAATAAAACAAAGTGCTGGCTCCAAGGGCCCATGTTTCTTTAACACTTCAGTTAATACTTGGCCTTTGGCCTCTTGTTTTGAAAGTCTGATCCAAGGCATGTAGAGCAGCGTAGGAATTCTCTGCCTGTGCCATTGCCTAATCATTTACTCTGGGTGACTCTACACCTCATTAATCAGTGCAACACATAAAGTTTAAAATGGGAACGTTCCAGATTTTCCACCTCTCAGATTGTCATGAGCTGATAATGACTGTAGCTAAAGCTATTGGCTGAGGCAGGATTAGGTAACCTTGTGCCCTAGAACAGTAAAGTCTCAGAAGAAAATAAACTAGGGAGTTGATTAATTTACCATGAATTTTATTTTCAGTGCAGAAAACGTCAAGCAAAGCTATAGCATGCATGAGTTGTTCCAGTTAAATGAAATATTTCAACACAGTATTTCAAACTTCATGTCCCTCTCCTCCATTTACTTGCAACAAAATCCTATGCCTCTAAAAGTCCCTGTGTGCGCTTGTGTATGAAATAGGCTACTTAGCTCTTAATAGTACCACTGAAGACTTGTGCTCTCCTAGATGTGTCTATCAAACAACATACAGGATGCGAAAAAGTCTTTGACCCTGGCTTTGTAAATGGAACTCTACTTGGCACCATTAGCCGCAGCCATATATTATCCACATGTATCTTGAAAATGAATTATTCAGCATTATTACTTATAAATGATGCCAATCACGGAACAGTCCACTTTCCAATCCTGAAGGTTTTTCAGTGTCAGAGACAATTGCTTTCTAGAGTGATGATAACCCCTGAAATAAAGTTATAGCAATGTGTCAATTATTAATTTGAATTTAGCTGCTGGCATTAATGCTCAGGATATAATATTTCACCATCAAGCATAGTTGTCTCATATCTTGGTTCAATAAAACCTTTTTTTTATTTCCTTCAGTGGCATGCTCTTGATTTCCCAACCACGGCTACGTGATCACAGACATTACAGCTGTATTTGATCTATGTGCTGCTTGCGTGATATATCGACAGACAATTTTCTAAACAGCGTGCAAGAGAAAGACAATGCTATTAAAAGAAAAATACAGCACAAAACCAATAAAGCAGCAGCATAAAAGCATATATATAGAAAAGCAAGGATACAGGGGATTCAAACACACAAAATGCGGTCAGGGAAAATGTGAGCCAGAATAAGCCTTTACAAGATGTGCGAAGCAATTGATGGTGGCTGCTTCATGTATGACAGAGGGCAGGGCATTCCATAGTGCAAGGGCAAAAGTGGGATATGCCTCCTTTTTTGTCACCACCCGATGGCATTCTGTATGGTGCAATGCCACGGGAAGAATTTCCTCAGCTTAGGGGGCAGGCAATGCAATTCCTTCCAACTATTGTTAGACTACAGCTCTTGTCATCTTGATCATGGGCCATGCTGGCTAAGGCTGATCGGAATTGTAGTCCAACCACATCTGGAGGGCACCAGGTCAGTTATCGCTGCCTTAGATTATCAACATGATATTACAGGTCTATGCATGTGATCTTTCAGGTAACCTGGTCCCTAGTTGTTAAGGGCATGACAGAGGAACAGTAGTGGGGAGTGCCTGGCACTCCCCAGGCATTTTTGCAAACAAACAAAAATATAAAAAATTAAAATATTGTCCAGTAGTACCTTAGAGACCAACTAAGTTTGTTCTGGGTATAAGCTTTTGTGTACATGCACACTTCTTCAGATACCTGAAGAAGTATCTGAAGAAGTATGCATGCACATGAAAGCTTATACAGTGGTACCTTGAGTTAAGTACTTAATTCGTTCCGGAGGTCCGTTCTTAACCTGAAACTGTTCTTAACCTGAAGCACCACTTTAGCTAATGGGGCCTCCTGCTGCTGCTGCCGCCGCACCAGAGCATTATTTCTGTTCTCATCCTGAAGCAAAGTTCTTAACCCGAGGTACTATTTCTGGGTTAATGGAGTCTGTAACCTGAAGCGTATGTAATCCGAGGTACCACTGTACCCAGAACAAACGTAGTTGGTCTCTAAGGTGCTACTGGACAATTTTTTAATTTTATTTATTTCAACTGTGTCAGACCAACACGGCTACCTACCTGAAACAAAAATATGTGATTTTTAATTGGATAGTGCAATTTGTGACTTTGGACCCATCAAGCCAAAATCAGGTGAAGTAATTCAATCCAAACTCATGTTTTGGTCCAGCATCTTGATTTAAAATAGTGGCTGGCATCCAAATATCACTGAAAACTGCTGCACCCTCTTTGGGAACCCTCATGCCAAGAGGCAGCCTAACCTATGCCCCCCCAAATGGGCAAAGTCATGCCAAAGTCACATTTTGGTCCACCATCTTGATTCAGAATAGTGCCCAGCATCCAAACAGTGATGAAGAACACGCCCACCCCCATCTTGGGAAGCCTCATGCCAAGTTTGGTGCTGGTATCTTGAGAGGTGGCCAAACCATGGGCAAGGTCATGCCAAAGTGACATTTTGATCTGCCAACCTGATTCAAAATAGCGGCCAGCTTCCAAATGTCGACAAAGAGCACCTCGGAAACCTTTGTATCAAGTCTGGGAATGATATCTTGAGAGGAATCCGAACAGAGAGAAAAGAGCCAGCCAGCCAGCCAGACAGACAGACAGACATTCAAACAAGCAAACAAACAAACAAACAGACAGACAGACAGACACAGTAGGTAAGAAGAGCCTGCAGAACCAGGCAATGGCCCATTTAGTCCAGCATCCTGTTCTCCCTGTGACCAGCCAGTTGCCTGTAGGAAACCCACAAGCAGAAACAGATTAACGTCAAGACCTTGAACATGCAGCCTCAAACTCAGCTCCTCAAGATCTTTATCCATTTAGCAGTTTTGGGGGAAATGCTCATTAGATATTTGAATAACATGGCCTGAGCACAATTTCATAACCATGACATGCCTGCTTGGCCTCTTGGTCTTAAACTACTTTCAGGAGGATTAATGAATAAACAGAATGTTGCATAGATACATATTTGTGTTTTGATTACTGTTAAACATCAGCTTTCTTTATCTGCAGCATTGCCATTAGTGAAAGGCCTTGATGATACAAATATCTACCATATGCTAAATGTTTTCCTTTTGAGTATCTCCCTGCAGTAATCCAAACACGACTGGTGATCCTAATGGATTCAGACTTGGCTGCAAATTCAGCCTTCCATTATGTCAAGGCCTTCTGACTTAAACCCATTTTTTCCTGGAAGCATGAAAATAAACATATTCACTTGGAGACAAATCTCATGGATTTCAACAGAGCTTACTTGCAGAAAGCTTAGGAAGGCAAATGGCAGAGGGCAGTTGTAGTAATAAAAAAACCAGAGGTGATATTGAAAGCCGCCAAAAGATCCAGCAGAAGACACACTTCCCCTGTCCAGATCATAGCTTAAATCAAGATGACCAAAGCCAACTCTGTCGCATAACCAGGCCTGAAACCAGATTGAAATGCAACTAACTAGATAATCAGTCCCTACCACAGTCCCATACACACACTCAAACCCAACAGACCACAGGAGAGGGCACCTGGGCAGAAAGACGCAATCATGATAGGCCACTGCAACTCTCCTGCCTCGTCCCCAGATCTAGCCTGCTGCTGTACAGAGAAACCTAAAGCTAAGAGAGATTCCCCAGTCACCCACACCTTCATCCAGTCTGGTATTTGTAATACAAGCCAGGTCATTATGCTCATCCTGGATAGGTGCTGTTTTGCCATTCACCAGCTTGGCATTGAGCAGCAGCACTTTCAACCCAGGGGTACTATTTTCAAGTCTATCCAGGTTATTTGAACGGGGAAGGAGAGTATTGCAGTGCCCCCTTTGATGATATGGAACTGTCTCCTCCCTCCACAGCAACCTCTGCCTTCTACAACTCTGATGGCCGTTCCCTGGGTCTCAGCATCTCATCCCCTCCTTTGGAGACACTGCCCTACTGATCTGTACCTTTGCCAGTAGAAATAAGGTGCAGATTTGATCCTAGGTGCAGACAGTCCTCCTCTGTTCTCTTGGCCCTGAAATGGATAAGAAGAGACTGCTGCTTTGTGAAAAGCAGGAAAGAAGTTGCACTGAATTCAATGTGACTTGAACTGGGCGCATTCATTAATAGAAGTTGTAGGCACAGGTGAGAGTAATGTGTGGGCAGGGAAGCGACTGCAGGCCACCGATAAGCAGACTTCCATATGTGGAATGATGCACACAAAGCAATTTTGTCGGAGATTAATGATAGTGGGCTAGGGAATAGCTTTCACTGGAGCTGACCTTGATAAAACACTTCCCTTATGTTCAGATTTATAATCATGGGTGGGCTAGTGGATCGTGTCTTTAAGAATGCCTGCTTGACATTAACCACCCAGAAGCATCAAATTTGGAAAGACTTCTTGCACATCACAGTCGGTACGTTTCTTTTATATTGAGCCAACACCTTAGCGGTTAAGAAAAGCCACAGTGAGCAGAGCTGTTTCACACAGCACCTCAGGCATGGCTATTGTGAAGTGTTTTGACAGGGGAATTTTTTTTCCCCTTAGGGAAAATAAAAATAACAACAAACTCTCGCTGCTAAGGCAACAGCTTTCCTCCAAGTTACCTACACATATTAAGAGCAGCCAGAGTTTATTTATTTAATTTGGAAATTGATAATATGCTTTTCAATTTAAGTAAATTAGAACAGCAGTCATAAACCCCACACACTTTGTGGTTCATTATCTGGACATGGAGTTGTAGTTAACAACATCTAGATTCATTTTTTTAAAGAAAACTACTGAATAGCAGTAACAGTAACAATAACAATCTGTGTTTTATTTTGACCAGCAGGATAGCTATTTGAATCCCAGTACAGTGGTACCTCGGGTTACATACGCTTCAGATTACAGACTCCGCTAACCCAGAAATAGTATTTCAGGTTAAGAACTTTGCTTCAGGATGAGAACAGAAATTGTGCTCCGGCGCAGCAGCAGCAGGAGGCCCCATTAGCTAAAGTGGTGCTTCAGGTTAAGAACAGCTTCAGGTTAAGAACAGGCCTCCGGAACGAATTGAGTACAGTGGTACCTTGGGTTACATACGCTTCAGATTACAGACTCCGCTAACCCAGAAATAGTGCTTCAGGTTAAGAACTTTGCTTCAGGATGAGAACAGAAATTGTGCTCCGGCGCAGCAGCAGCAGCAGGAGGCCCCATTAGCTAAAGTGGTGCTTCAGGTTAAGAACAGTTTCAGGTTAAGAACGGACCTCCAAAACGAATTGAGTACAGTGGTACCTTGGGTTACATATGCTTCAGATTACAGACTCCGCTAACCCAGAAATAGTGCTTCAGGTTAAGAACTTTGCTTCAGGATGAGAACAGAAATTGTGCTCCGGCGGTGCAGCAGCAGCAGGAGGCCCCATTAGCTAAAGTGGTGTTTCAGGTTAAGAACAGTTTCAGGTTAAGTACGGACCTCCGGAACAAATTAAGTACTTAACCTGAGGTACTACTGTACTTAACCCGAGGTACTACTGTATAGTGTATATTTAACATTCAAACCCTGCCTGAAAAGAGAGCAACTAAATGGGACAAGAGGCTCATCTTACTCTGAGGGATGTGTAGGGAAGCAACAGTTGGCCCAGTAAGGAGGGATGTATATGTGGGAAAGGGAGATCCTGTCCTAGACCATTTGGCGCTTGGAAGGTAAAAAACACTACCATGAACTTGGCTCAGAAACAAACTGGTAGCCTTTCCTTGAAGAAAGCAGTAGGCATACAGTAGTTAAGTCCATCTTAACTTAGGTTGGCCATATTCCAAGAAGTAAAAATCCAGGCACAGATTGAGTAGGTACCTGTATAAATACAGGTATTATTATTACTACTACTATTTTGCCATGGTACACCTGCATCAGCACAATCATTTGCCCCACCTTCAACAAAACATGTCTCTCCCATATTGGTCTCTGCAGCCACAGCAGGCACTGTAACTCTCCAACACTTTGACTTTACCCCCAATGGCACAATCTTCCATAGTCTCCTGAGACAGTTGGATGCCAGCCACCTTATTTTGCACCCCCTTGGTTTAGTGCCCTGTGGGAGTGGGGTGGGGCCACCTGTACCACCCTACATCCATCTCTGGGTAACAGTACTTTTTTTTTTTGGCAAGGCTTCCTCTTGTTCATCTTAAATATGTTTTTGGTAGCTGCTCCACCTCATGGGTTGGGCTAGATTTAGCAAAAGGCTGAGTCTGGAAAATCTCTAAAGGGGTGCGGAATAGACCAATTTAATAGCCAAATGTTCCTATAATGCACTAAAGGAGGAAGCTTTGCGGGTAGATTTCACGATGGCAAAAAAATAATCTAAGAAGCTCACCACTCATGTTATGGTAGACCCCATATCTCTTTTTGTTTTGTTTTTTACATACACAGTATGTTTTATTATTTAATCATACAATGGGACTTTGATTTGAGTAAACGCACATGTGATTACAGGATTATTTTGTGCTGTAGGGCAGTCTGCTGCAGTTTTCCCCAAAGTATTCCATCAAGCTGTTTTTGACTGCCTACTTCCTACATGGCTGGAGGTCAAGGAAGTCCATTGGAAATGTTTATGGAGGAGGCTGGAATCAACCGACTGATTTCTCTATGGAGATGGAAGGCCACACACACACCCGCTGCAGCTACATCTGCGCTACTAGAAATACCATATTTATTTTAATGTAATCTGAGAATAGTGATATGTTAATGTATATCTCAAGTCAATGTGTTGATTGGCGAAAGCACAATATAACATTCTGC